CAAGCCCACTGAATTGAGCTGGAACAACTTGTCACAGCTCGTTACTGATCCACGAATCTGCGCAGGGTCCCGGGGTACAGCAGGAAGAGGCTCCCCTTCAAAGTAAAGCAGTTCCGTGCGTCACAGCGCTGTTTGTCTCCGCGGTGATTTCACTCGAAGCTGAGTTCAGGAAACCGATACAGCACAGACTCCGTCCTCATGGACCTGGAAACAGCTCAGCACAGTGAGCCGTGTCTGCCTCTGTGAGGGAGCAACAGGCTGATTTCTGCCTCAAACCACCGCAGCGAGGTAAGCAGAGCCGCACAGCAGGGCAGCTGTCCGCAAACAAAGCGCTTGTCCTGGTGTGTGTGTGTGTGTGTGTGTGTGTGTTTGTTTGTGCGCGCTGTTTGGTTCTCGGTCAGCCTTCAGTTCAGCTTTCAGCTTCTCCAAAACTGGAGAAGTCAATATCATAAAGCGTCTTAGTAAGGTATGAAAAAAGCCCTCTGAAAATGAAGAATACTTACTATAAAAACACAAATAATCCGATAAAGTAAAACAGTACGGTAGAGCTCAGTAAACCCATTAGAGAATAATTAGGAAAATGTAAAAGGTTTAAAATAAGGTGCAGTAAAAATATATGAGGAGTGAGGAGAGAACAGGAGTCTGCTGGGCAGATGTCACACGAGGTATGAAAGAGTTCGTGCAGGTTTTGAAGAGCTGATTACTGACACACACAGCTATGCTCTGGTTGTATGAGGCCTGATGGGAGGGAGCTTTGCAATCTGGCCATTCTCTTTCCAGCTGTTAGCTTTTCTCTCTCAGTACAGTTGAGCTGCTTGCTCAGCACAGGCATGCTTCCATTCATGCCAGCCTTTCCTGCTCCAACCCCGGAGGTGAAAAGATCATCACCACCATCGCTCATACTCACTTTATTAAGCAGTTGTTCCTGCACTGCAGACAGTGCATTTCTGTCTATTCATTTGGCAGAAAATTTTTAATTACCACTTCTAACAGTGGTAGAAAACACCCTCTTCCTTTGAGGACTAACCCGAGAAGCATGCTGATGTACTGAAGGCGGTGCACTGCGTCAGTGCTCTAGGTAGAGGGTCGCCACAGCGCATCATCTGCCTGCATCTCACCCTGTTCCACGTAACATCCTCCACTTGTAGCGCAACCTCTGCAAGTTCTCCTTCACTGCATCCATCAATCCACTCTGAGCTCTTCCTCGTTTCCTCCTGCCTGGCAGCTCTAGATTGAGCATCCTTTGTTCAAACCAGCTCAGCGTCGCCTTTCTTGTTGCAATGTGTCTCTCACAAATCATGACACTCATTACCACTCACTCCACCCTGCCTTGACTCTCTTCTTCACCTCTCTTGTACACTTTGCTTTAGAAGGTTGATCTCAATGATTGTAGGGTCTGTCTTACAATATAAAGCATACCTCCACCTCTCCAGGCTCTCCTCCACCTGCTCTCTGTTCTCACTACAAATAGCTATGTCGTCTGCAAACATCACAGATCCACAGAGCCTCCTGCGTGAGCTCATCTGTCACCTTATGTGTCACTTCTGACTTCTGAGATGACCAAAAGTTTACAAAGTGAATTTAATATGTTATTTGTTTGGACCCAAAATGTGTGATTGAGCCTGTGAATTCATTAGAGAGCTGCTTTCACATAGAGTTGTGTAGGCTCAAAAGTCATGCTTTAGTTACAGGTTGTTCCCTGCTGACCAGCTTTAAGGCGCTTTCTTGTTGGCTTCACTTCTCAGATCAAGAAGCTGTCCATCTTTTATACCGTTTGAGCTTGTGTTTATGTAATTCACATTCAGCTCACGCTGCCTTTTGACTTTTCCTTCAACTCATCACCTTTTCCATCAAGACAAATTAAACATGATTAGGAAAAGGCAGATGAGGGAATCTGTTGATGAGCTAATAAGGGTTAAGAGGTTTACCACAGAAGAAGAACCAAGCAGTTGGACATTCTCTGTTCTTGCTTTAGAGCCTAACGGAGGGACCGTATTGATCATGGTCTTAGCTGCTCTTCTGCACACAGTTAGTGAGCAGCTGGATCGTCTGTCTGTTTCAGATCAAGTGCGGAAACCGGGGAATCTGCAAAATGAGCAGGCCTCCTTCATGCTGACAGACGGGCGGAGTGCTGTGTGGATGTTTCAGAAATCTTTGAGAACATGTGCTGTCAAGCACTCCTATTTAGAGCTTTATCTTACAGGCTCTTTAAAAGGCAGAAGCACACACTGTTGCTTTTCTCCGGTCTGTCTGTGGCTCTGTCACACAGCAGTCAGCCGTGCTATGTGGAGTTAACCAGTGCTGCATGCTTTACTGTTGAGTCATGCTCTCTCACTCTGCTAGCATGTCTTCTGAACGCTGTATTTGTTGTTCTGAGTCGTACTTGTTCTGGGTGTTGTGATGCACAGCAGTGCAGTGTGTGCTTTCTTAAATAAATGATTGCGTGAGACATAATGCAGATGAATGCTACTTGCTTTACTTTCTCGTTAGTGTGACCTTGAAGTTGACAGGAACTAGAGAACAGAGTACAGACTAATGTTCCAGCTGCAGTCCAAGACAGTGGAGTTTGAGTCCATCCAACCACAGGAGGACAGACCGTGCGGAGAGGCAGCTAGGTGATACTGAGGTCAGCCGGTAAGAAAACATGAGATGGAAACAGCTGACTCCCTGATATGTTGGCTGTTCTTCATTTCTAGCTTTTTATCTTATTTCTCTCGGGCTCCTTAGCTGGTTAGCAGCAGCTAAAATTTCTTAAAAGCTAAGTTGATGGCCAGTGACAGTGTTCTCTCAGATGGATTAAAAAGTAGAAATTAAAATGCTTGTATGAGATGTCAGAAGGTGCCGGTGTACACGACTGTGTGCAGACAGTCCACACAGGCCCAGCCGTTACTGCAGTCTAACACAGCGTCACCCATTGCTGTGCTTTTCGGATCCCACTGACTGATTCAGTTTTTTTCCGAAGAGAGTGTAAGCCAGGTTTCATTTCTCTGTACACAGTCTACAGATGCCCCCTGAATGCAGCACAGGCTGGTGGTGACAGAAAACAAGTTCAGGATTGGGAATGCATTCGTGCCAGTGACCACAGGAAATGCACAGACACAAAAGTTATTAAAATGTTGTGACGTCACAGCGAGCAGACGTGTTTCCTCTCAGGCGTCTTTAAAGTGAACTCGACACTGTCGGAGCACGGCTGATGTTTTTCAGGAGGTCCTGCGTAGCGCTTGTATGTTGTGCTGTGACTGCAGCAGTAATAGAGACAAACAGTCTGAAAAGAAGCTCCCTCACTCTACATCGTAACTGTTCCCATAGCGAAGCAGGACAGACAGAGGTTGTTGCTTTGTGCCGTAGGCACATACACGAACAGCTCTCATTAAAATCCTCTTTTTGGGTTTTTTGTCTCATGCTTCATTTTGCTGAAAAAGGCAAAGGTATCAGAAGCGTCTGCTCTGTGGTCTTATCAGAGTGCCGATGTCACTGAAAGCACGCTCTCCTGTACGCCATGTCACCATGCTAGTGCTGTTCACAATACTACCAAAGCAACACTAACAAAGTTTCAGGAGAAAAGTCGGTCCATGTGCAGCCTTGTTGTTTCAGTGATGATTCTGCGGGCTGATCTGTGCTCCTAATGAAGCCACTGTGTCACCCCTGTGGAATTTGGCACATGTATAAATATCTTTGCAACAGTAATTGCCTGCAAGTGACAGCAGCCAGAGCTCAGCTGTGTGATTGCATCTGAGGTCAGGATAGTTTGACTTGAATCTCCCAGACACGTATACTGGCCAGTTTGTGCTAACATGAAAATAACAAGTGAAGCAGAGACGTAGTGGATGGTGTGTAAGCCTTCACAAAATCCAAACCCATGACTTATAAAGATTCATAACAACTGTACAAGGATGATTTTATAAATCACTTGTATTTTCACATATTGTGAGATTTGCATAAACTTCAGCGTGTAAAGTTTGAGCTGTGAACATCTTACTGCTGCCATTCTTCCCCAGCAGCAAGAGCGCCTCCCAGAAGTCCACTTCCACAAAAGTAGGTCACAATAGTCCCAGAGATGCACCCAGCAGTCACTTTGTTAGTCACTGCCAGTTACCACAAACACTTGAGCACAGTCCTCTGTCAGTGATCAGGGTTAGGGAATTACTTTTTCACACATGGCCAGGATAGCTTTTAAATTGATGAATAATCATTTAATAAATGCATTTTGGTGTTTACTCAGGTTATAGTTGACTAATATGGAAATTGGTTTGATGATTTGAAACATGGAAGTGTGACAAATATGCAAATAACTAAGAAATCGGGAAGGGGCCAATAGTTTTTCACAGCGCTGTCTGCAGTAGTAAAACTCTGCTGCCATTGGCTGCGTCTCTCTGTCATTCTGTCATTGTTCCTGAGGGCGGGAGCAGCAGCAGTCCCAGATTGATTTAAAGCTCCAGACACTGAAACAGTCAGTTAGAGCCCAAAACCACAGTCTGCACACACGTTCACAGCACGGTCTGTGTGCGATTCTTTCTCAAACTTTGGATATATATTCTCGGCACCTGAGACACTGACATTAGTAATTCCTGGAGTTATAGGGGCTTAAAGTCTGCATGATTGAGTGGGCGTGGCCTCTTTGACAGGTGGATGGTGTCAAAGAGTTGGAGTCCCAGAGCCGGACCTCTCATCGGACCTCTTTGTGCTCTTTGCTGACAGACAGTCATAAAGCCTGTGCTCTACTTTTCAGTGAACTCCTGACTCTTTGTTTGATCCTTTCACTCAGTCTGTGCATTGCACCGATGCAGGCTGTGGATGTCGCTTGCTAACCAAGCTAGCCTTGTTAGCTGATCACTTGGAAGGATTGTTCCAATACTGAATCACAGCATTGAACAACAGAACTGTAGCATGGGAATACTAATAAAAAGAGCGAGGTTCATTATTGTTGTTGCTTTTTGTCATTAGAATCGAGTCATTCTGGATGGCACACAGGTAGAAGCAGCTCTGGTTCCAGTGCAGTGACATTGTGGTGTATTTTTTGGACCTGTCACTCTGACAAAAAATAATAACAGGATAACAATATGAAATAAAATTTATTCAGAGACCATAGTTTACATAAAATTTGTCCAAAACATAGTATGTTTATTTCATTGTTTCATTTCATTTTATTTTATGTCCTCATCTGCTAAACACGCTGTAACGTCCTTCTCTTTAAACTGAATTATTTGTCCAGTTCTCTGCCTAATGTGATGTTGTATGTCATTCCAAAATATTCTGGCATATACACACTGTTAAAAATAGCTACTGAG